AAAGTGTCCAAAAGAGTAGAGTAGCTGGATCCAATCCTAAGCAACTGGTGCACTGTCGATCGAAGCGAAAAACTGAAGAAGACCACGAAGGAAAGAGGAATCTTGGTGGGCAGGAATCGTCGAGGAGCGCGGTGGGTCGATCAGATTTTATCAGGCTGGTCACGCAACTTGCACGATTGCCAGCCTTCCCCCCTTCTCTCCAGCTCGCCATTATCGGACACCCTTTAACGGTCGGCAACGAGCGAGCGATAAGATCGTGTCGTCCTTCGATATTCGCTATTTATGGGGACGGAGGAGCGAGCCGCATGTAAATGGCAATTGAGGCAATGGGGGGCGGAGGGGGAGAGGTTTCGAAAGAGGAGGGTACACGCGCGATACCGGCAGAGCTCCGTGCGAGGATTTCGAGGCGCGATCGGGTGGCGCTGTGGGAAAACCTTCGCCTGCCTTTGTTTTAACTGTTCGTAACCGAGTCGTAAATTAGAGGGCTGGCGCAATTCTCTCTATCCTGATGCGTAATTTTCTCTCTTCACGTTTTTTCTTTTTTTTTTTTTTTTTAATTATAGTTTGATATCAATAAAGAGGATCGTTGTCCAGGAATATAAAATTTTTCTCGACCCTCTTATCGGTTTAGATTTTGGATTAATTAAACCTCGTAAATTTAGCCACGTTCCTTTTAATGATTATTCTAGATTAGTTACGAGCGATGAAAAGTTTCGACGAATTGAAACAGCGAAGTGTGACCAAGTCGTGAATACGTAAGTTACGTGCTACAAGATGACGTGTCACGAGGAAAAAAATATCACGACAAATCGTTACTTACCAATCAAGTCGCGACACGCGATGATTAAAATTCTTATGCGAGCAACTCACGATGCCGTGAATGAACGCGCGTACCTCCCCCTCTTCTTTATTCTTATTTCGCGAGAATTTATAGTTTTATTCGACTTGGGAGAAAGCGATTGCAAATTCGAGGTGAAAATAAAATTTACGTTAGTTTTCTTTATCTTTGGAAGTGGGAATAGTGGATCGTTGGAAGAGGTATAGGTAAATTATAGAAAAATTCCCTATCCTGTTGTTCCAAGTTATTCGCAATTACTTTTTTTATCGGACTTAAGAGGTCATCTTTAAACGAAGATGCTTCTAATAACATTAATAACAATTCTAAAAATTATTCCATGTAAATTGTTTCAAAGGGTATAAAAGAAATACTATCATTGATCCATAATTGTCCAATAAAAGTAAACTTTAAAGGTGACAATGATGATTTATCAATTTTGAAAGGTAAAAAAAAAAAAAAAAATAGAAACGTTAGTGATGACAATGACAAAGAAAATTCACGAATTTTGTTATTAAATTTCACGTTATCGTATCATCTACCTGTTATTAATTAAAAACGTATTGTATCGCGGAAACAATGACCAGGATCCAAATGCACTCGCTTTTGCACATCCTCCATTAATAAATCGATTTCAATATCGCCATAAAATCGCCATCTAACCGCGAGTTGAAAACATCGCATCGAATTCTACGATTTCTATAACCGGCTCGATCCCTTTTATCATTAAAACGGTGCAACGGGTGAGCGAGGAGGAGGGAAAATATACGCGTTCAAACTGGAAAACGTGCAAACAACAAGCTATTGATTTTTTTCACGGCTTTCGAAGGCTGAATTTAGTATAACCTTGGAAATTTCTTGGAAATTTTTCGTCACCTTTCGAGAATTAATTCTCGAGATTTTCCCCTTTTCTCTTGGATACGTGTATTTAAAATGATCCACGTGGCCGAGAAAACTCCTCGCCCCCTCCTTCCTTTCTCTTTCTTTTACATTGCAAATAGAGAAATATGTTAATGGAGAAACCGGAGGAATGTTTTAAAGAGAATCTTAGTCTTTTCCAACAGGAAATCTTTCCCGCGCTTTTACATTATGCAGTTGAAGAATCTCTTTCTAACGAAAATGTATACAGTTTCAGCAAGGGATTTAATAATTATTTCTGCTACGTATGCTGAATCTGAAAAACTCGTCGTCGCTTACAGCATTAATTTTTAACTTTGCTGTTTTGAAAGTTAGTCTGAAATTAAATTTTACATATATATATAGATTATGAATTTTTTGAAAACAGATTTCATTTCTTACTCGTTTTCGATTATTGTCTGATAATAAAGAAAAATTAACAGTTATATTAGACTTCGGGAAAAAAACTGCTTTCTAAAAATGTTATTCGATTCCTATTGAATACATTTTCGTTTGTAAGTCGAAGTAATTTTAATCCCTTCTGATAAATACTTTAACAAACGTAATAATAATATTACTCGTCCTATCATATTTCCACACGACAATCCAATCCTGTTCAATTAATTCTTTCTCCACGAGTAGTGCCTTCCATTCTCACGAATATTAGATTCTTTCTAGAGAAAAGGGTAATGAAAGAAAAAATTGAAAAAGAAGAAAAAAAGGGGGGAAACAGAATTGTAGTGGCATCGAAACAACCAATAAGAGGGGAGCTCGAGGCTGGTGGTTAAAATTTTAATATTATATCCGGGAATAGGGAACGATGCTAATAAGCGGATTTTCCTGGAAAAGCAGGTCGCGCGTGACAGCTCTTCAAAACGCACGCACAAATTGGACGTGGCGTGACGAGGCGAGCCAGCCTCGTGCGGATTCGCTTTTCAAAAGAAGTTGCATTTCCACGGGGATGGAAACCCACCGCCTCCCCCCTCCGCCTCTGTTCTTAAGCGGAGGCGAATCGAAGCTACGCGTGTAGGCAAACGGGTGTCGTGGGTGTCGAATATTATCAGATTTCAGTTCACAAATACTGGGAAATTCTGTAAATTTTTTCTCGCGCCCTTTGACAGATTTGCACGATCCGATATCTTTTTTTTTTTCCCCTTTTTAAATATTTCAATTATTAATAAATGAAATCGAGTAGATCAGAGTTTGTATTCTAATTTGCAATTCTTTCTTCTAGTATTTTTGGATTTTTTCTCCACGAATATTAGATATCTCCATGTCGTGCTTTTCAAAAGATCTTTTGATAGATCTTTTTCGTACGTCGGACGTTTCATAATTTTTTCCCAGATGTTTAGAATTATCGGAGTTTCGTATTTCAAAATTTTTTGTCGAATATCGGATATTTTGGAATTTTTTTTTTCTTCTCTCTCTCTCCCCCGGAAATATTATAGTATCTGCTTCATAGTTTTCCAATATTCTTCGAGTATATTTTTTGCGATATATTCCCTGGATATTGAATATTTTCGGACTCTTTGCACATATTAGATATCTATATCAGACATCTTTATATTCGAGTTTTCTTGCGAATCTTGAATATTTTCAGATTCTTCGCAGTGTCGCGAATATCTCTCGTCTTTTTTTTTTTTGCAAATAAAAAAAATTTGTATATTTTAAAATCCTCTCGTGGATATTACGTTTTCGATACTTTTCAATTTCAATATTTAATTATTTTCCATTTCTCTTTTCGTAAACTTCCATTCATTTAAAAAAAAATATATAAGATACTCGATGAATACAATAATATCCTTTTTTTGCCAACAAACGTAGAAAGAAAGAAAGAAAGAGAGAGGGAAAAAAAAAAGTATTTAAAATACCGTTCCACGTAATCTGGCATCGACATAATTTTTCAATCGTGATGTCTCGAAGCATTCTTGGTGAATCCTCTCTGTTCCCTGCCTGTTGTTCCCGCCCGGCTTTTGTTGTTGCTCGGTTAAATAGACCACGGGATATCTTGGCGAAATTGATCGACTGACGCGGCATTCACTCGCAGAATGAGCGTCCCCGGCCATGTAAACGCGTTCCCCTGGATTAATTTCCGGCGTCTGACGATGCGTCGACCGTTACTACTTGCACCGCCTACCCCTCGCTCCCTCACGGCACAAGAAAATGGTACCCGCTTCGTAAACAGACAATATTGGCTATCGTTTGATGCCGATTTTCCTCGAGCTTCTGATATATTTGTTTCTAACGTAGTGTAACGTGTTTTCACCCTCTTCCTCTTTCTTTTTTTCTTTATATATATTTATTTATTTTTTTTTTTTTTACATCACGAAAGTGGAAGTCCATTTCTGTTTCGACGATCCATAAAATTAGATTTTAATCTGTCGTTTCTTCCATTGTTTTCTCTAAACGTGGAAATTATCGTGTTGCATTATTGAAGAACGGAGTGACGATAAGGCACACGCAATTATACATGTACGATTAACTTGACGATTAAATGGGATACTATGTTTTCTTCTTCTTCTTTCTTTTTTTTTTTTTTTTTACTACGAGAGAAAAGATATTGGAAAAAGCAGAAAGTATGGAGGACGAAGAGAAAGTTATTTTTTTCGTCCTCTTTAATCACAATTGGATATATTTTAACAATTCGTTAAAAATTTCGAATAAAGTTTTTTCAAGTTAATTTCAAGTAATTAACTTATTAAAATGCTGGAATAACATTTATTCCGAGATATTATGGTCGATCCTCTTTCCTTATAATTTTTGACATTACGATTCTTTTCAATTTTATTATTATTGTTCTCAACGATAAATTATCGAAGTAATTTTATTCATAACTTCAACTATTTTGCCCATCATTGACTATATGCTACATTCTATGTACTCGTGCAAGAATTTAACGTTCACTGTATTCCACATATCACGAATATGTTAGAGAGTTATGTTAACAGAGTTGAGCGTTAACTCGTTGAAAAAGTGTTAAAAATTTCAATAAAGTAATACTTTATGTAATTAACTTAATAAAATACTCGAATAATTTATTCCTAAATATTATAGTCGATCCGCTTTTCGTATAATTTTTGACATTACGATTTTTTTCAATATTATTATTATTATTATTATTATTACGTTTCGAACGATAAATTATTAAAGTGACTTTATTCGTAATATAGATATAAGTGTATAAATAAGATAAAAGAAATGGAGAAATGTTAGGAGAAGAATTTATGTTAAGATACTTAATCGTCCCCCCTTTTTTTTCTGTTTATAGGTGAGTGTCCCGGAATTCCAGTACGCTCGAGGGGCGGGCGCGTCCCTGATGATGGTAAGCCATAAAGCAACAATACCTCCACGCCGCTTGTCCACGTGGCCTGATTCCGCTTCTTTTTCTTACACAAATAACTTTATTAATCGACGTTTATCTCGTTCGAAATTCGAATATTGTCGACATTGTTTCACTTGATTTAAAGATACTTAAATAGATGAAAGGAGATGTTGGAAATTTATCATCAAAGATTTCGATAATTTTTGTTCGAATTTATCCTTTTTCTTTTTTTTTTTTTTATTATTAAAAATCGTACGAGTTTAAATAGGTTACGCGAGTTTGAATTACATCGGGAGTAAAAATTGAAACGTATGTATTTTCGACAGGAAAGAAATATGGCGTGTATGGTTGGTAAACAATTTGTATTGGGCAAATATTAGAACCTCGGTTGACAGTTTTAACAGGGGAAAATCGTATCGCCCTCTTACGTTACTTGCGCTATAAAACGAGACGCTTCCCATGGGGGGAGGGGATGTAGACGAATGTGTTTGTATATCATCAGGGTGGCCACCAAGGGGCACGTATTCCATGAAAAATAATTCCGTGTGTCGAGAACCTCGAATTCTTATTGGAAAAACTTGCAGATTAATACGAATGTAATATTCTCTGTAGAACTTTTTTCTAAAAATTCTAAATATTTATAAAATAATTGGTGATTTTATATTAAACCCGTATCGAAAGTTTTTGCAAAAAAGAAAATCATTGATCATCGCGAAATTATCTCAGAATTAATCAAAATATATTTTATATATTTCATGAATTGAATACTTTTTCCAATTATCGAACGTTATAAATATTCCTTCTTACAAATATTCGCTTCGTAATTTTTCTCGATCACGCGTCAATCCACCATCGTTTCGAAGAATTTTTATCGGGAATATAAATAAATCTGAAAAATACCCGAACATTTGTCGCGACAGAATATCTCCTCCGAGGAATCATAATAGAAACAGTCCCGCGTAACAGACATTTCCAGGGCGGATAATTCGCGAGGAAAATTCCCCCACGGATAGGAACAATTTCACTTACTTAAACACTGATTCCACGTCGTTTATACGTCGTGAAAATAGCGAGAGATTGTACGAGACACGATCGTCACACACAGAGGCACGCAAACACAGTGGGTGGATGGGGTCTTAAAGTGTCTGGCGGAGGAGAAAAATGGAGGCACGCGACGCACGAAAATCCGACCCTATTTCGCTTTCAATTTGCAGCTCCTCAAAGGCGCGTAAACAGTTTCCAGAAAGAGTTTTTCACCTGGTCCTGAGTTGCGCCGGGCGTTTTCCTCGCGCTTCTTACAAAGGAATCGCGGAACTGGCGATTTTTCCGTTGGAAACGCCCTTGTTTTTCCTCGATCATTTTAATACATCGCTTATTTTTTTTTTTTCTTCTTTTTATTTATTCTTACATTTACTTCTCTAATTCGCTTCGAATTTTTTTCAGTCAAATTTATGCGCAACAACAAAAAGGGGAAGGGATTCCGTATTGTCTTGCAGACGATTTTTATCGTTGGATTGGCAGTAGTGATGGAATCGAGTGTATCGCGAGTATAACGATTGAACTGTTATATTCAACGTGAAGCGAATCCTTTTTCCATCGGACTCCAGTAAATACAGTGATTCCAAATCGAAGAATTTCTCTTTTAAATTTTTCCTCGCTTGTGAAAAAAAAATCTCCAAAAATGTTCAAACGTAACGAAACATTTCTATTCGTACGAAATTATTAAACGTGGAAAGGGATTGAATCGTCCAGTTTCCGTAGCACGAAAGTCGAACAATCAACGACACTCTTGTTCTTCAGGAGGAAATTCATTTTCCACCACCCCTTCCACCCCTTCGACAAACCATTTTGATTCCAAGAAAACGATCTTCGGTGTATCGATCACTCGCCAGCTTTTTGCTCGTTAAAATTCTATTTCGCCCAGGGTAAACAGCAAATTATGCTCGAAAGCTCGACGTCATCCCCCCCCCCCCCATGCATGTTGTGCATATACACGTCGATTCCATTATCCCCTCTGCTCCTCGTCCACCTCCACCTCCACCCAGCCCCCGTCCCCTTGGCCACGTTGTTTTTCTTGGTTCTTTTAATGGAACTGTTGCACAAACTGTTCGCCCTCGGCCGTGGCTTATCTTTATTTTCCGCATAAACGAGGACAGGCCTTATCAGCGGGTAACCCAGCGGCTATCGTTAGAGTCGAACATGTTTCTGACATGCTCGACGCCGTTGCAAGTCGGCCATTACCACTTACACCTGCGTAAACCTCTCTCACTCTCTCTCTCTCTCTCTCATTTTCCGCTTCATTATCGGTGTACTTTGCGCTCCTTTCTTTTTTCTCTTTTCACTTTCTTTTTTTTTTTTATATTTGCATTATACTTTCATACGATGCGATGCGCGCAAGAAAATTATGAGATTTGTACTTGTATAGATCCGTTTAAATGGAACTTGTTCTTTCGCAAAATACAGTTGATAAAGAGAATTATTATATTATTTATATATATCTATTATTGTGTTTACTCGGTAACGAAGCAAGTTTTTGATAAACTTTACATTATTCTCGCAGCTTTCTTTCCCCTCTGTTTTCCTTTAAATTTCTTCCTCCTTTTTCTTTTTCCTCGAACCTGGTGCAGACACTGATGGAAGAATTTTTACGCGTATTCTTCTTCTTCGAAGCTAGCTAATTTACCAATCGATCGTTCTCTTCCAAGGATTATTATTTCCTATTTGTCCTATATTTTCTAACGTTTTCATCCAAAATTTCGATCTCGCGGAAATTGCTATGGGTTCCTCTATTCGGGGAGGAAAATTTCCAGGGGAAAACGCTTTGATGTGCTCGCCGGGCTCGAGTGAAAGGAGTTGTGAAAGAAAGGGTGCGAGGTGAGAAACGTGCTTACAGGAAGACGGATCGCGAGGGAACGAGCGGAATTCTCGCGTTTCACGAGTCCATTGAGCGGCCGTGTTTTAACTCCTGATATTATTGTTTCGTTTCGAAACAATTTCTTTTCTTATCACGTGGCTGATTCGATTTTTTTTTTTTTTTGCGAAATTTCGATTAATGCGAGGTTCGATCAAAGATCTCTTGGAAGAGTAAAATATCTTCATCGTTGAAGATATTTAAAAATAGTAATAGAAGGAATAGAAGTATGGAATAAATTAAGAGTGTTAAGAGTGGAACGATGTAATTGTATCAACGAAATATGTAACGGAATAAGAAACGTGGAGTAACGCGTATTCGTTATATTATTTACGAGAGGATAAAGAAGAAGGGAAGAGGGAGGGGGAGTGAAAGCAGTGGCGTTCGAGAGGGATAAAGTGAAATAAAAGAAGAAGAAAAAAAAGTAAAATATACGTGAAGGAGATATCAAACGAAGGGAAATAACAAGCGCGTTCTCTAAAATTCTTTGCATTCGACGAAACCGTGGAAATATTCTCCGTGTATCCCTTGATTATTCAACACGTTGTTGTAAGAAATGTACCGAAATCGAATTTTTATGCGTTTCATTTTCCATCGCGTTGAAATGCATGGGTTTGACAGAACGACGAAAATTCCCGTTTTCAACGTCTATTTTTTCGAACACACACTCGAAGGACCGCGTTTTAATTAATACGAAATTTCACGTGTTCGCGTGTCGGCACACAATAAAGAAAGAAAGAAATATTAATTTTTCATTCGGTTTATAGATCGGTAGGACCCCGGAGGCGGACGATTTTAATTAATTTTTCAGACTTGGATTCGTTCCTCCGCACACCGGAGGAGGAGGAGGTGGAGGAGGAGGAGGAAGAACGGCGTATCCTAAGCGCGTTTCTTTTTGTATCTCGTGAAACGACATATATATATATATTATTTTTTTTTTTCGATATTTCAGGGATATCGTGTCGTAATTTCGAAAAATTAATGTTCCGATTTGACGGACGTATCGAGGAAAATTAATGTATTTTAATCGTGATCTTTTATAAAGTTTAAAAAGAAAATCTGCGAAATAAAACTTCCCCGATAATAATTAATATCCCCCCTGTTTAAATATATACTTTCGTAGTAATAATCCAACGCAGTATCGAACGTGCGAGAGAATAAAAATTGTGAATCATCCCAACCACTGAGTGCACTTTTTTAATTTACGCGTGTGAGCGTAAAACGTTTGATAAAAATACAACGGAAGTTAAAATTTCATGGGTCGAGACTCAAGAATCTGCATAAATGATGAGAGGCGGGATAAAATGCTCGATCAACTGCGAAAAGAAGAAACTAGATTATCCGGATACCTGTGTGCCTCGACGCGAATAATTTAACGGTTTAAATGAAAATAGCGGGGTGGAATATAAGGGTCGATTGCGAGCGAGAGGAATCTCTGTCTTCATCTTCCTGTGACAGTTGGTGAAAGAGTGCTTGGAACGTAAAAGCTCGCTGTTCCTCGCGTGAACTCCACTCGCCTTGGCCATGCAACCCATAAAACTCGGCCATGAAAACGGCCGCCCGTATCGAAACATGCATAAGTCATTTATCCACGACGATGAATAAAAATTCCATTCGCAGTAAAAAGCAACGACTCGCGATCCACTCGTGGCTTTGGATCATCGAAACTTCCGTTCTCGGGGAATTCGAATTCCTTCTCGAAATTTGGGAAATTGGGGAAAATAAGTTTGGAAATAAGTTTCTCTTCTTCGAGAATCCTTTTTTTTTTAGGTGTCGGGAATATTTAATAAATTGGTGGCGTATGATAAAAAGAGGACAGGAGGAGTGGAGAAAGATTCAAAAGATCAAATGTTGGGGAGGGAATGTTTAATTATAACCGGTTAACGATTCACTTCCTTCACCAGTCAATTAATTACATCGTACGTTTTTTGGTCACGATGATTAATCTCTCTCTCTCTCTCTCTCTCTTTCCATGGATTTACCACCTCTTGGGGATTTTCCTTATTCCAAAGTGAAAAATGTCCACGTCTTCTTGCCAAAACTCGAAGAAAAGGCGAGGAGTGGCTCGTTCAAAGCTCCAACTTGCGAG